TTTGGCGAAAAAACATCAAAATACCTGGTGCTGGTAGAGGCAGGGACTAATGCTGGGTACAGACTGATTCAGGAAGCACGAGATTATGCATTAAAGGTGGGTCATCAGTCGGAAGAAGAAAGAGATCATTTGGAGGGACATGTTTTCTCTCCTTGTCCACACGACATGTTCTGTCCAAGATTTTTTGATGGCTCTAATACCCCTTGTAATTTTCAAGTATCTTACAGACCATTTAGATTTGGTAAATATAGTGATACAAGCAAGGACCTGTTTAGTTATGTAGTACTTAAGAAAGGAAAGAGAAATGATGTAGGTGACAATGTAGCCTGGCCTCGCATTGTGCGTGCCCCATTATGCCGTGCAAGACATGTTTATGTCGTACTTGTACAAAGTATGGCACACTCCAAGAACTTACAGTAACAAAAAAGAGACATGGCAAAGAATGTTACCAAATAAGTAAAAATTCAGACTGGGGTGACATGTTTCCAGTTGAGTTACGAGACACATCAAATTCAGAAAGTGATTCTAGTGAACCTGCTCATCCTGAAAATGATCTCATCAGCTATAATACTGCATGATATGGTTAGCACTTTCTTACTATATTTGCGTAAGTACATATCGCTCCCTTTACTTCTGTTTCGTTTAGAATTATTTGTTATTTATTTTTATATATACTTTTATTGCAGATCTGTTTATCATTTAAGAAGTGCTAAGAAGGGAGATATTCAGATGAAGTGTTATACGTAAAGACGTCACATGAAAAGGAGAATTCATGAAATTCATTTGTTTACAGTGACACCTGTACAGCTTCATTTTGGTTAACCAGAGATTCTTATTTCCTAATAAATGCTTTGCAAGTCTGCAGATAGTACATTTATCCCTGGTGTCCTGGATGACATCCCACCTTAACCCATAGTACTTGCCAGGAGGGGAACTTGAATATCTTTATGAATTTTAGCTTCTCCCTCAACATTATGGGGCCAACAACACTCTATTCATTATGAAAACTGATGCTGTTTTTTGTGTTAATGAGATAGATGATAAAGAATTTCTTGCTGTGGCAGTGAATCTGGTTTTATAAATGAGGTGCAGTATTATAGGTGTAGTAACTTGTAATTATATGTATATATGTAAGTATGCTAATTGTACAAAAATATATATATAAAGCAAAAGCCAGATATGTTTTCTTATAACTGATTGTATTATTCTACACTTCAGGAAAGACCCTTGTGATTGGAAATGAGATATCTTTTGTTGATTAATTAATAAGGTAAAATAGATAATAACAAATTATCTTTTTTATTATTATTATTATTCCCGAACTCCCCAATACCTTGCTCTCTATTGTATGGTCTTATCTTCTCCCCCTTTCCTTTTCCTTCTCTTCATCCCCTTCTCCTGTCCACTTCCAAACATGTGAGAGCCGTGCTGAAAGGAACAAAGATTGTCTTTGTGGTATTCCTCCCAGAACCATGGGCACAGTATTCCCTTAGTTAATAGCCCATCCCTTATCCCTTATGACAACCCAGAGGAGGGGTAGACTGTTTCCTTTCCCCACATATTTCAGGTTCACTATGGCTAATAATGATTTTTTACCTTTTTCAGGGACAGAAAGGCTTGCACCTTTCATTGGTTTCCCGACCACTGCCTCTCCTTTGACCATGGCTCTGACCACAGTTACTAATACTCCCTCCTCGATGTTTACTTAAAACTATCCATTCTGAACCATCTACCCAGGTCATTACTCAACCTTGAGAATGCACTCCTTTCTCTCTCCCAACATCTTCCACTCCATCTTCTACTGTACAGTCTTCTTTATTGTCTACCCCCTTCCCCCCTTATTACTAGTCTTCATCCTTATTGTCCTCCCCACAGTACTACCTCACTCCACACTACCCCCATCTTTCTCATGCCTTTGTCCTTCTACTGCTTCCACCTCTGCAAACCTTTTGAGTACCCTTTTTGGCCCAGCCAAGTGGGATCGATTCTTGTGATTCCCCCAACAGCCCTTATTCTGACAATACCTGTCTCCAAAAACAAGTAGGCAAAGTTTCCTATTGCAGTTTTTCCGATTGTTCACGATTTGTCAGTTACATCTGAGTCATAAGCTCATGCACTATCTGACCACTGACTGATCGTCCTATTTACAACAAGGACTGGTCAGACTGTAAGAATGACCTGCTTTCCTGCCTTGTTGATTATGATGCAGTGGCAGTACAGTGCTACACTTTTTCCCCAGCGGCTAATGTAAATCCTTCAGTATTACTAAGATTAGGTTCCATAGACATGAGCTCCCCCATGAAGTTTATATTGGATGAGTGTTCTACTTTGTCAGACCATATCAACCCTTCCTCATTAGTGTCAGAAATGTTGGCGTTTTGGCCACCCAGTCAAACACTGTAACTCCACTGTAACTCGAATCGGAGAAAGCAGTTCTCAGATTCAAACTAGGCCTCACTCTACATGAGGCCAGACAGGAAGCACAGCTCTCTCCTCCATTCAAATTCCTTTTCCAATCTAAATCAAGATACTCCAATCTCTACCACATCCCTGATGCCTACCCTCTTCCTCCTCACTTTATCTGTCACATGAGGCAACCTAATCATTCCACTGCATCTTCTACCATATTCTTACCTACACTGAGACCTCTATCCCTTTTCTTCTACTCACAAGAAAAACTTTTGTTTCTCAGACCACCCAACTCCCCTACAGAATCTTTTAAGACCAAAAGGTTTTGGTCTTAAAAGATTCTAAACATGACCCAAGAAAACGCTCCTCATCAAAGTACTTGCTGATATCTGTTTTCCTCCTCCTAAAGTTCCCATTACCCTCTTCCTCTCACTCTCCCCCAAAACACTCTATCTCCTTCTCCATGTGCACCATTCCGTCGTCCACCATTATCTTAATCACTTCCACCTGTATGCTCACTTGACTCCCTTATGTCACAATAGTGTCCGGATCCATCTTATCCTGACGTGCTTCCTGATACTTTTACTACTGTTCCCTTATCTCCTTCCTTAGATTCTTCTCTTATTTCCCCAACACCCATCTCAACCTGTATTACCCGTTGATTGTTTCATAATGGTCTTTTCCTTAAACAGTGTTCCTCTTTCTTCCTCGGCCACAGATACTCCCCATTTCATGCAGTCACCCTACACACTTAACCCTTTCCTCTATTACTACTCATTTGCTCCCTCTCTTATCCTTTTCACTACCATACTATCCTATCAGTATCTAACCTTTGACATTTAACACATTTCATCCGAATCATTAACTTATGTTTACCCTTTCGCCACAATACTTTACTATAGTGTTATATTACTTTTTATGTCATGCACATTTATTTGTTTTAACCATAAAACGTTTTTTAAATTATTTAATAAAGTTGCACATATCTCTCTGAACAAGCAACATGATGAGAAGAGGATGAAATTTAACCTTCCTTTGATTTACATAGAGTTGATAGATAGATATAATGTAGTTAATTTGTTTAGCAGTTTTTTCTTTATGTGAAATATGCTAGTATATATCTATTTCCTTCATATTCAAACTACATTCAAGTGTTGGCTTTTGTTAAAGCTATCTTACATATCTGATGCTTTCTTGCTTTCTTTCATTCTCCTTTTTTACTTGGTAAACAGTTTTATTTAATTTTACAAATGTTGATATGCTATGCAAAATATAAATATCTTACATTTCAATTACAAGACTCGTGACAATAGAAATATTTCTGTAAAGAGAGGATACATTTACATTTTATTTACCATTTCATGGTTTATCAATACAGTAACAAACATAGAGGAACAGGGAATGAAATACAGGATTTTTAAAAAGTATTTATTTCTCTCGAGCCTGTATATAAGTCACACGTCTAATTTAATCAATCCCAGTACAGTAAGGTCACAAATGTAATAATGGTTGTCATTTGCCCAAATTTATTATTATCACTGATGAATGTTTTGAGGTAATGATGAAAATATAAATCCAAAGAACTCTGGAATGTTCTGTACATCATTAAAAAATGGAGATAATATATTTCTTCAGGCATATACCAGTAAATTACTATACACTGTACAAATCTGCTAGTTGCCTATTACAACTTTTCTTTATATAAATATATATATATATATATATATATATATAATATATATTATATATATATTAATATATATATATATATATAATCATATTGAATATGTATATATATGTATCTATATATCATATTGAATATGTATATATATATCATATTGAATATGTATATATATACATATTGAATATATATATATGTATATATATATTACATTGAATATAAATATGTATTATGTATATATATATATATATCATAATGAATGTATGTGTATAAATTATTTATTAAATATATTTATGTATATATATATTATACTGAATATATATATTGAAAATATGTATGTTACATATATATGTGTAAATATATATTAATATATATATATATATATATATATATATATATATATATATATATATATATATTATATATATTTAATTATATATTAATATATATGTGTATATACATACTTACATATACATATATATATGTATATATATATATATCTATACCAATATTGTCCTTTTTTAAATCCCTCTAGTATCTGCATACTATAAAATCTGAATTTGTATCATCATTATGCTGCCTATGTAAATGCTACTATTAGAAAGCTCTATTCATTCTCGATAATTTGGAATGATATATCTTGGAATGCAGTCATTTTCCCTATAAAAAAAAGTTTTGAAGTCATTATAAATTTCATAATAACCTCATTTTGCCCTTTACAAATGAAGAGAAAGAAAGACGTACTTTTAAAGTACAGTATATCACTAACAGTGTCAAAGCTCTTCACACACAAGAGACAGGGAAACACTGTTCTAAATATTTTATATAAATGTATTTTCAGTGAGCAATAGAAAAAGATACCCATTTGTGAAAACTAACAAAATATATGGCTTTTTTACGGAATATGAAAGAAATTATTACACAGACATCATTTTTAAAGAAGTGATGATTATGCCTTGTTGAAGCAGTCATTCAGGAAGTCTTCCATGCTGTGGTAATGATGCCTCTTGACTCCTGCCAGACCATGGTTCTCGTCAGGGTAGCTCTGTAAAAGTGATGTTTTTATGTTTTTTTTTTTAAGCACTGATACTGAATAGATAATGCATGTCATCTTGTAACATATGTCATTAGGTGAATGGAAAACTGGAAGATAATTTTATTGCAGATTGTGTTTAAAGAAATTATCTTCCATTTTCACCAAAGAATGTAAAATATGTGTGCAACTAAATATTGTACTGCATTTTGATCCCATGCCTTACCTGTGATCTGAACAGAATGTCATTTACTTCTAATGCTCGGGATAACATCATAGACTGTTGGTAATGCACATTGTCATCAGCAGTACCGTGTATAAGGAAGAATTCTTTATTTCTGAAGTTTGTAACATTTCTGGTTATGTCTGAGGCGTCATAAGCACGCAGGTTATCATCAGGCGTAGGGAGACCCATATACCTTTCAGTGTATACGGTATCTGAAAATTAGAAATTAAATGGTTAGGCTAAATACAATTTCATGTATTTGAATTACTATCTTCGGGAAAGTCATGTTATATAAAAACAGTGGCTGACTTGGGATGGATGTGTGAGTAGGAAGGCAGCTTACCATAATAGATCCAGGAAGTCACAGGTGCAACTGATATACCACACTTAAAGACATTGTTTACATCCTTTGATAAGGCAGCAGCAGTTACATAACCGCCGTAGGACCATCCCCAAATGGCCGTTCGGGAAGAATCAATGAATGGGAAGGACTTCTGCAGAGCTCTGTCAAGGGAGGTAAATAAAATTAAGAAAGGTATTCTTCAGACTACACCACATAGCAAACTAAAATCTGTCACTGACTTTGAATAGCTTTACTAATATTTAGTCAAGTTGCTGGTTAATGTTCCACTGAACTGGGTTTTTTATCATTACTTCAGTTTTGAACTGCATGACTAAAAATACTTACGATGTCACTGCAATCTGGTCATCAACCTCAGCTGTTCCAAGGCCATAGTACAGAGAATGGAGTAGCTTATCGCCAGAGTAGCCTGAGCCGCGACCATCAATGGAAGCATAGATGATTCCTCGCTCGGAGGCCAAGTAGTCACCCCAGTCAATTCGGAATCGATCACTGACAAGCTGGGATCCTGGGCCTCCATATCTGAAGATGGGAAATTGATATGAGTAACCTTATTTGAAGACTAGGGTCCATGCGTTTGTACTGGGAAGTAGGGATATATGAATACCTTGAATATTTAATGACATATGACTTTCCTTGATGCCATTCTTTACAGATTTGTTTCCACAGAGTTCAGTAGTAATCTTGCATTTACAATCCACTGAAGACTGTGATCAGCAAGATGAAAATTAAACTGTACAGTGGACAAAGAAACTTACACATAAACCAGCATAGGGTAGCTCTGGAACCGTGTTGGGTTGTAATCCGGAGGAAGTTTCATAGAGACCTGAGCCTTGAATCCTCCTGCAACGTCAATTTCCAAGCGCTTCTCCAGGGGCAAGGAACGGTCAAGGAGCCGCTCACGAACCTGGATTTTGAAGAGGTAATGTCAACTTTTGTTTCCCTTTCATGGTAAATCAAATAAATCTATGATCATCTTCATTTTCGTGTAGGTAGAAAATAATACTTATTAAAGAGATACAAAATACCAACCTCTTGGTTATCCTCAATAAGCCTGAGCCTTGAGTGGTCAGATGCACGATGCAGAGTGACTTGGGGAATACCTGGTCCTCCACATGTCAAACATAATAAGTACCGTCTTTGCTCATCTCTGCGCTGTTGTAATTACAGTCCTCCTGAAATTTTATTAAAAAAAAATGTAATGCTCATCTCAAGTTTTACTGAAGGAGCTTGAGAAAATTAGTTATTCATTACAGCTGATAGTATGTTTCATTCCTCTGCATATAGTATCTTAAATAAACGGCAAGAATTTGATGTGTTTGTCTGAAATTACAATTCATAGTCTACAGATGTTAGAAATATTACTTATTTATTTATTTCCTGAAAGAGTAAGGAACACTTTGTTTCTAATTTGTGCCTCCTATATGTCAGCAAATTCAGTGACAAAAACTGAAAACTCACATTAAAATCATTCTTGAAGCCACAGGTGATGCAGTAAGCCTGTTTCGGTTGAGGTGATGACAAGTCGCCAACATAATAAATGTGACGCTGTCCTGGTCTTCCTGATGGGGCAGCTGTGAAGTACCTGAAGACAGACAAAAATATATACAATAATTTAATATCTCGGGAAGTGTGGAAGGCTCTATTTTTAGTAATTCGTGCTCCAAAAGTACAAGACTTTGTTTATGAAAATAATTATTAGTGGAATTAGTCCCTATAACTTCACACATTTCAGAAATGGTCTACTTACACAATATGGTTCTTGCGGTCCCATGAAAGAATGTCTACAACCTCGTAAGTGCCAGTGGTCAGTGGAGTTAAGGTCTTATCCGATGATCGTCGGAAATTAATGTGCTGGAAAAGATTATTGAGTGTTTTTTATAGACTGTTGGTAGCATTCAGTGAAATGGTCTTGTGCTGTCTAAACATGATCACATTCAAAATATGATTATACCTCAGCCTAAACTAAGTTAATTAAGGCTTCTAAAGGTTTTGCAATATAAGATTCGCACAGGTGTATGGTGAATAGCATGAGCGCCTTTTCCAACATCACTATGCACCTGCCCAAATCTCACACACGGATTATTTCCTCTTGCCGTTTCAAGACTCACCTTGAAGTGTCCCCTGTCGCCCTGGAACGTGGGTAGAATAATCAGGTAAGTGTCGCCGTTGGCCTCGTCGAACATGGGAGGAGTATAGAGGTCGTTCCATGCCTTGTCCGGAGACTCGTGGACGAGGTCGTCCGAGCACACGCCCGACTCAGCCTGGCAGATGCTCAGGATGTTCACATTCTGAAAGGGAAGCCTCGTGGTAGTCGGGTGAAGGAAGTGACCGTGAGAATGTATTGAAGAGAACGCATTTGATGCATTTTTGTGTGTGTGTGTGTGTGTGTGTGTGTGTGTGTGTGTGTGTGTGTGTGTGTGTGTACGTGTGTGTGTGTGTGTGTGTGTGTGTGTACGTGTGTGTGTGTGTGTGTGTGTACGTGTGTGTGTGTGTGTGTACGTGTGTGTGTGTGTGTGTACGTGTGTGTGTGTGTGTGTTACGTGTGTGTGTGTGTGTGTGTGTGTGTGTGTGTGTGTGTGTGTGTGGTGTGTGTGTGTACGTGTGTGTGTGTGTGTGTACGTGTGTGTGTGTGTGTAGTGTGTGTGTGTGTGTGTACGTGTTGTGTGTGTGTGTACGTGTGTGTGTGTGTGTGTACGTGTGTGTGGTGTGTGTACGTGTGTGTGTGTGTGTACGTGTGTGTGTGTGTGTGTACGCGTGTGTGTGTGTGTACGTGTGTGTGTGTGTGTACGCGTGTGTGTGTGTGTGTACGTGTGTGTGTGTGTGTGTACGTGTGTGTGTGTGTGTGCGTGCGTGTACGTGTGTGTGTGTGCGCGTGCATGTAATTATAATTCGCCTTACCTGATGTCTGTTCATCCAGTTGACAGACACGAAGTCGGGCGAGGCCCAGCCCACCGTGGGTGAAGTAATGGTCCACGTTCGACAGGGTTGCAGGCGGAGGCAAGCGCGTTACTGTGTCGCTGCTTCCACTGATGAGCTTGGCGAGGTCCACCACCACAGGTCGACACGGGGTTGAATCGACCGGGCTGTTCGGAGAAGTAATAGAAACTATTTTAGCGCCTCCTCGTGGACTCGTCGGTCCTCTTGCCGATATACAACTCTAGCTCTTGGTCAGCGAACAGCCGTCCTACAACCCCAACCATGCGGCCATCGAATTTTCTTGCCGGCTGACATTTCACAAGCACAACATCTGTGCCGAAAAAACGCAAACTCTCCTCACCTTTGGGTATTTAATGGACTGTGGATGGGGTACTGGAACGAGAGGTCTCCTGGACGACCGTAGAGAGGGAAGTTCATGGTGTCGACGCGGGAGTCGTTGAAGGTGGCGAAGGCGAGTCGCAGGCCGTTGGGGCCGAACCACAGCGCGGAGTTGGAGCTCAGGATTTCCTCTGGCGGGGGAACGGCGCGGGTTAGAGAAGCAAAACTATCGGCTGATAAACTAAGTTTCAGTATAAAGTCGTATGCATACTTATGCGCTTGGATCATTACCATATGTTGGATTGCATATTTAGTGAAGAGTGGAATGAAGAAATAAATAACAAAATATGTAGTTTCCCGCAAACGCACCTTCATACACCCAGTCGGGGATGCCGTTAAAGATGCTACCGATCTGGCCAGTATCAGTCAGCCTGTACATGGTGGCCAAGTCGGGGCCAGTGGTGTAGTAAAGGTCATTGTGAGACACGAAGGCGAGGGCGTCGTCAGTGGGCGCCCAGGTGGCATATAGAAGCGGCGGCTGGTCATTCCTGGACCGAACCCGCTGGGGCGCCAGAGGGATGGACTCCCTGGGAAAAAAGAAAAAAAAATTAATATTTCTACTAAGAATAACCAGATAGGCCTACTAATTATGACACGTTAGAATTGCTGGATTAATCACGCACAAGTGTGTATTTACGTATATTTATTCCCGAAGTTGTACGTTTGTGGTAACTCACCCGGTCTCAAGGTTAAGAATGGTGTGGCGGGCGAGTAGGAGTAACGGAACAGCTGGAAGGCAATAAAATAAATTATGCGGATGAAAGCAACTGGTAGCGCTACTTTGTTATCTCTTTTGCAAATTGGCACTGATATTAAGTAAGGAATTTCCATTCATTTATTGCAATTAATTCTTTCCAAGGTACGCCACGTCTATGAAGCCAAATGGTACAAGTACATTATATTTCCTCGGGCTTACTTCTGCACATCATGGACAACCAAAAGGAATTTCCTGCTTGGGGACAGACTGTACTTGAAGGGACGCCACTCCGCCTGCAAAGAGGGACGCCTTTGAGTACAAGGAATTTGCAGAATCTCTCTCTCTCTCTCAATTCCCTTCTCTCCCAACTCACACTCACTCACTCACCCCTTCCCTCTCTCTCTCTCTCCTTCTCTCTCTCTCCCCTTCCCTCTCTCTCTCTCCCCCTTCCCTCTCTCTCTCTCCCCTTCCTCTCTCTCTCTCCCCTTCCCTCTCTCTCTCCCCCTTCCCCTTCTCTCCCCTTCCCCTTCCCTCTCTCTCCCCTCCCCTTCCCCCTCTCTCTCCCTTCCCCTTCCCCTCTCTCTCCCCTTCCCTCTTCTCCCCTTCCCCTCTCTCCTTCCCTCTCCCTTCCCCTTCCCCCTCTCTCTCCCTTTCTCTTCCTTCCCCTTTCTCTCCCCTTCCCCTCTCTCTCCTTTCTCTTCCCTTCCCCTTTCTCTCCCCTTCCCCCTTTCTCTCCTCTTTCCTTCCCCCTTCCCCTTTCTCTCTCCCTTCCCCTTCCCCCTTTCTCTCCCCTTCCCCCTTCCCCCTTTCTCTCCTTCCCCTTCCCTTTTCTCTCCCTTCCCCTTCCCCCTTCCCCCTCTCTCTCCCCTTCCCCCTTCCCCCTCTCTCTCCCCTTCCCCCTTCCCCCTCCCCTCTCTCTCCCCTTCCCCTTCCCTTCCCCTTCCCTTCCCCTCTCCTCGCTCTCTCTCCTTTTCTCTATCTCCCTCGCTCGCTTTCTCTCTCTCTCCCTCCCTTTCATTTTCAATCTTCCACTCACGCTCCTCCTCCTCCTTCTTCCCCTCCCTCTCTCCTCTTTCTGCTCCTTCTCCCTCTATTCTGTCCCCTCCTCTCCTCTCTTTTAACTTCTCCTTTCCCCTTCTCCTCCCCCCCCATTGCCCAACCAAGAGGCACAGAAGGGCATCGCGGCACAGTTCCCGCGCGTCCGCCGGGGCGAAGGCCGCAGGGAGCGGTCGCGCGAAGGCAAAGGCGGCGGTGACCTATTGTGTCTTAAAACAGGGACTTCTAACCTTTCGAGAGCACTGGAGCCTCGGTTCGCCGCGCGGGGCTGCACTTACCATGATCTCCTGGCTGACCAGTTCCTCGTGGACTGCGTCTCGACGGTGAACATTTTGAGGGCGCCGTTCTCGCTGCGGAACAGGAATTCGTTGTCTGCGGGAGGAAGGGAGAAAAAGAGGCTCGGTTTGTTTACAATTTTCTGACTGGGATGGTGGGTGGGTGAGGGGTGGGGAGAGGGGGAGACTTTGCATGTTGCCCGATAAGCAACATGCAACATGTCTTATTCTCACTCTTATAATTACCTACATTACTGTTAGTATAGCCTCACTATTGTCACTATCTTTTAATCATTACCAGTATTATTATTTTATTGATATTACTGTTATTGTTGTCGCTATCATCATAATTTTTGTAATTAGAATCATCATTAATATCATTACCATTATTATTATTATTATTGTTATTATCATTGTTGTTGTTGTTGTTTTGCTGTTGTTGTTGTTGTTATTACTATGTTCATCGTCAGTATCCTTACTACAATAATTATCAATTTGTTTCATAGACATAATAATTATTATGATAACGTCATTTCCCCTTCATTTATAAGCTGTTATTACCAAAACCTTCACCCAGCATTTATCATCCTGTCTTTTGTTGGTCTTTCGCCGCTCGACATTCACAGCCCCCCCTGCCCCTTCATCACCCCCCCCCCCTTGATTATCGTGACTGAATCAACCCGGCGACGGACGTGACATCAACAGATTTCTTCCTCGACACTGGCTAATCATTGACATGACAGGCCACGGCACCGGCACGGAGTACTGCATCAACTCCAGAGGTGTTGATCAAAACCTGCCTTTATCAAGTCTTATTGTTTAAACTTACGGCCATTTATTAATGTGTTTTGTGCCTGTAGCTGCTCACGGTTTGTGTGCGTGCGTGCGTGGCGTGCGTGTGTGTGTGTGTGTGTGTGTGTGTTGTGTGTTGTGTGTGTGTGTGTGTGTGTGTGTGTGTGTGTGTGTGTGTGTGTGTGTGTGTGTGTGTGTGTGTGTGTGTTTGTTTGTTTGTTTGTTTGTTTGTTTGTTTGTTGTTTGTGTGTGTGTGTGTGTGTGTGTGTTTGTTTGTGTTTTTTTTTTTTTTTGTGTGTGTGTGTGTGTGTGTGTGTGCGCGCGCGCGTGTGTTCGTCCTCGTGTCTGCGTGCGCCTGAAGCCAGACTCACCGGAAATCCAGGTTCCGTTGAAGGAGTTCGCGGAGAAAGTCCCATTGAGCACCTCGGCCAGGTCTATGCCTCCGGGAGTGGCCGTGAGCGCCGAGGTGAGAGGGATGGGGCTGCCGTTCCTGTGGGAGACGCGTCCGAGGGTTAACAACTCACTTCATCTCATGCCATAACATCTGTCAAGATCCCCTGAATCATCATCCTATCCCATGTTACTCCTTTTATCATGGCAGCGCCCATAGGAATATCCTAAAAAAAACATCATAGAAAGATCTCGACTCTACTCTTCCACGGAACCTGAGCTGTTCCTACCTGCGTGTGGGATGACGATCCCGATGGCGGCGGCGACGATGAGCATGACGCCCACGGTCCCCAGCAGGAGGTTCCGCCAGACCCGCGGCCTCGCCAGCCCCACCAACTCCTGAGGGAGGAAAGGCACGGATTAGGGAGTGTTGGCGGAGGAGGGAGAGGAGTCGCGGTGTTAAGAGGGTTACAAGAAAACGTGAAGGAGAAAATGGGAAGTGTGCAACCTACGGGTGTCTATTTATGCCGTATGTGTCCGTGCATAAATACATGTGAAATATATATATGCTTGTATATACAGTCATACACGCGCGCGTACACACACAAACACAAACACACACGCACGCGTACACACACACACACACACACACACAAATATATATACATATATATATATGTATATCCGGTATATGAGAAAATGACGTGTCATTGTTTTGCTGCAACTCTGGCCGGAGGACTTGTAAGGGGAGGGAGGGTGAGGAAGCCCCCCCCCCCACAGGGATAAGTACGCCCATCTCGTCTCCTTCGACCATGCCCCCGGGGTCTCTGTGCCCAAGATGCCGAATCATGGAGGGCAGCGCGAAGGGGGTATTTGCTTCCTCGCCCGAAGTTCAGGGCAAGGTACATATAACGTGTTAAGGTCCTTGGTTCAGGGCAGCAGCAGCTCCATTTTCCTGTCGTCCGGAAGTCAGGAAATTATTTGATATTATATTCTTGGTAAGAATGTTTTGCTAATACCTAAAAATTTCAATGTTTTTCTTACGACTTCTTGATTTGTATGAAAGTATATGATGTGAATTACTGTTTAATATTTTGGAAATCTAAATCCTCTTGCATTTCTGATGAACGTGCTTGGAAGCAATAACATCACCAGGCAGCCATGAAGCATGAGGCTCATTCCCAAGGCAGTGGACGGAATTTCAACAAGAATATATATTACGGAAGATTTTAGTCGATCAAAAGGACAGCATGAAAGCTACGACATAAATACCACGCATGTTGTAGAATTTATTAGAATGGTTTTAATTCTTCGTTGGTTTAAAAGATGGTGTCCTGCACGACCCACAAGATTGGCTTTCAGCATCAAGGTCTGTATAAGTACGGGCTCGTCACTAAGCGACTCAAATTCGTCCGTCTCGCGCATGACTTCACAAGGCGTAGAAACCTGGGGGTTCGACGCTAATCGCGTGGTCATTCTTGGGTGTGAGGGAGAGCAGAAAGGGTCTCCCTCCCTCTCCGTTTCCGCTTGCAAAGCCACAATGCCCAGTAGTTGTTCTGTGGGTGGTTGCAAAATTTGGGATCCCCATCATTATATATATATATATATATATATATATATATATATATATATATATATATATATATATATATATATATATAAAAGCATAAGCTGTACTTGTCTTTGTTTTTATGCAGTGCGTTGGTTGTGTATGATTTGTATTATAATAAATTCGTCAAAACATTTGGAGTTTAAATGTGTCACGTCTTCTTTGTTTATTTTACTTCTTTATTGTGCAATATCTAAGCTGCAGCATGAGAATTACAAAACTTAATTCACGTAAAAGATGCGTTATAGACCTACAAACAATCACTGATAATCATCGCTTGTAAAATCTGTCCAAAATGCAAATCGTTCAACGCGCCGGAATCTATAATTACTTAAGTATTTGCTCATTTGCTTCCGTTTTCTATCATCTCCTTCCCACTGTGTTTACGCCCAGTGACGTCATAGGCCTCATCACCCTAAGCTGCGCAGAACTCCAAAAGTGACGAGACTGTCCTTATAGAGACCTTGTTCAGCATCACGGCGAAGCCATCGCGCGGCCACCGGCGGTCCTCGGGGCCTTTCCTATGACCCTGGGTACTAATGCTCGTTCACTCGTTTACTCATTCATTCTTTCATTCGGTGTGTGAGTGTGAGTGAGAGTGGTGGGTGCGTGCGTGCGTGCGAGCGTGTGTGTTGATTTCCGTGCTTGCGTACTCTATCCGAGCACCTCTCCGAAACAGACCAATAAAAACGAACTGAAAACCAACACCTATTTTCCGCAGGGACTTTCCAGCCCCAATGTCCACGCTGCCTTTGTCTTGCGAGGCCTATAAAGAGGCGTGGCGAGCACTATGACGCCACAGCCCCATAAAATGACAAGCGCGAGCGTCGTTGTCCAACAGTTACATATGCCAGAGTTGTCACATGCACAGAAACGCACACACTCTGCTTAACTTTCACACCAGGCAGGCACGCTCCCCCAGGCCAGAAGCGCGCCAGGCCCACTCCGAGCTTAATCGAGCTGCAAGCACTCGATCGCGTGTTAAGAATGAGAATGGGGAGCTCACGTGATGATTACTCGTCGGATTTGGTTTCAGAGGAACCGACGCCGAGCATGTCTGCTCGTCCAAACACGGCGTTTAACAGGGATCATTAAGGCAAAGAGTTGAGTGACAAGGGAAAGTGATTAATGACCTGTAAATACTACCGGTTGT